TGAAGTATAAAACCAACCTTCCCACGTCCGCTGTAGCTCTGCTTGTCATTGCTTCCTGGGAAGGCCTCTTGCCTGACTTCTTCTGTGTGTTCATCTCCTCTATGTGACTATGGATATTTCCCCCTGCCCCCAAACCTTTGGGAAATTAATATCTTTGAGACCTCTAGTATACTTGGTTGGAAGTGGTCCTTGATTGGGTGGGCTGGCGATGTGATCGAATGAGCTTTGTCACACCAAGATGATTTAAAAAGTACAAAATCGGGGTGGTGGTGGGAAGGAGGGAAGAAAGAAATGAGTTTCCTACTAAGGGAAATAGCTGGACATAAAGAAGGAGCTGAGGATGGAAGAAGAGACACTGGGGACAAAGGGACAGTGCCAGACACAATTGATTTTTACAGTTCATTTTTGCTGTCTGTGTAATCAGCTTTTCTTTGTCTTGCTCCTCCATAGTAGAAATATTCCTGTTTACATGTCGTAAGAGCAGGCTTCGTTGTACAAGTAATGCATCCTGCCAACCTACAATACCTTAAGAGAATTTGTACAAAACAGTGCAAGAGTGAAGCTGGGCCAGAAGGTCGTTCAGGAGCAAGAACCTGCTCACGTTGCGCAAAGTCCATGGTTTCCATGAGTCTCCGAGTCCATCTGAGCTCTGTGGATATTTCATTGGTGTTGTGCAACTTGCAGCTGTTTTGCTCTGGAGCCGTGGCAGAGCCTGGGAAGATGTTTGCTGTGTAGTCTCAATGCTGCCTTCTCACAAGGCTGAAGCTTATTTGGGTCCTGCCAGTGCTAGATCAGGAGAACCTGATCTTGCACGTCCCTTGGGCATGGGATTCCTATCGATTCCCTGGCATTTTCCCAGGGGAGAGCCATCCATTCTGCAGCCTCTGCTTGCACAAACCAAGCCAAACGGAGAGCGAGCAGCCTGTGACGCCCCTTTCGCCGGAGAGGCTTGGGAGTGCCATTTGGATTTAATTATCCAGTAAGTTTCAGTGCTTGTTTGAATTTTGACGGAACTGGCTGAGCTGGCTGCTTGTTTCCATGGAACAAAGTTCTCCACCCTTCTTGGGAGTCAGCTCGGAGACCCCAAGAGCAGTAATTAGGATGGGCAAGAGGCTTAGTCTGGAAAGCATCAGTTCCTGTGCAAAGCTGTCATAGAGAGGACTGGGAAGTGTCAGTTTTGCAACCGATGGTGCAAATTGTGCTCCTGCTCTGAAGTTGCTTCAGAGCATGGTGTGGGTTTTTTTCGCTTTGTTTTGAACAGTTGAGGCTTCGGTCATAGTCCCTCTGAAACTGCAGTTCTCTTAGACTAAAAACACGCTGTTAAAAGCAGTTAAAAAGCTACTTAAGCGCACAGAAATACATTACTTCAAGGAAATAACGTATTTCTGCTTGTGCTTAAGTCATGTTCTTTCAGCAGCAGCAAACAACCTTTCTTGTTCATATAGGAAGACGTTTTCTTATCCTATTTTGTAGCAGTGATGGCATAGACGTGTATTTTAGTTTTTTTGACAAGTACACTCATGTTTTTTAATAAAAAAATTCTCAAATGCTCTTCAGAATGCTTCTTTGGCATAGGCTTTTTAGTCGATGGAAGAAAAAGGTGCTGAGTTCACAGCCTAAATATTAGGAATACCTTCTCTTTCCTTCTTTTTTTCTTCTTCTAGTGCCTGATTCCGGACAGCCAGGGCCCAGTTTTACACCACTGATTCTAGGCTGATTAAGTTGATGGTTGGGTATTTCTGAAAACAGGCTAAACTTAATCAGCTGCTGAAAGTGAGTGGATGCTTCTTGCTTTGCTGTGTTGGGAGAGATGCGAAAGGACGCTTCTGGCAGAGATGTGTAGCCTGGCTTTCTAAGGAAACACGACTTTCACAATCATGCAGGTGGGGTTGCAGCACCAGGAATTCTTAAAGCTATGTTTGATGGACTCAAAAGACTGTGTCGCAGAAAGTTTTGACAAAATTGATGGGTAGGTAGAGGAGGAAGACTCAGTTACTGCTTTGAGGGCAATGTAATATAAACCCAGCCTTTCCTGGACATTGGAAGCCCTTTGGTGTTTAAGGAGAAGACAGAAGTCCATAGGAAATTGGCCTTCCTTGCTTTCGCAATCAGCAAACAACTTGTCACAGGTTAGTTTGAATACCCTGACTTGCTGGCCAGCAAAAGCCCCATGTGGTAGGAGGGGCAGCAAGGACATCCAGGTTTTCTGTACACCCTGCAGAGGTGATTTTCAATCGCAGCCTCTCTGCGTTTTGCAGGGTTGCTCACTTCCAGCTTCCTTCTGGTGAAATAACATTGCAACCTCTTGCAACTACTGTTTGTACGAGGGACAAAGTAACCTACCCTGTAGGAATAACACTGAAGCAGTGACCCTGAATACTCATCTCTAGTGGTAGTAGTGATAGGATCCACTTCAGCTCAAAGATCTCTCTTTTTTGATGTCTTCAGTGATGCCATGTGCTCGTCAGACGTCCTAGCAAAAGCATGGTTGATGCTATTGCTCTCGGCCGCACGGTTCATCCTCGCGGGTACCCACGGGATGTGGTGGGAGCTCTCTGGAACGTGGTCTGTGGGGGGTTTGGGCCAGCTCTTGGGGGCTGCCACGTCTTTCTCTTGGGAGGAATGGTGGGAGCAGCTGACAGCACTCCAGAAAACTCTGAAGTTACGTGTTTAGGGACATGGTTTAGAGGTGGACCAGGCAGTTAGGTTAACGGTTGGACTCGATGATCTCAGAGGTCCTTTCCAACCTTAACGATTCTATGATTCTACTCTGTCCCTGCTTGTTGGTTTATCATTATTTTTTATTATTATTACTATTAACCTCCAGCAAACCCTGCTGTCCCTCCTTGGGACAGGCAGTGCTGACTCTTAGGAGTCCTGGAATAACCTTGCAGGGCAGTGGTGGGCTAACCAAAGATGCATCTCCTGGCAGATGCTGCCAGGTAGGTCCAGGGAGGTTTGGGGTGGGAAAGCGGTGGTGAATCGGGTGGTTTTGCTAGCAAAAGCCCGGCTCTGCCACTGCCTGTTGAAGCCCTGTTTCCCCATGACATTAAGGACTGTGTTTTGTGTCAGTGAGTTCAGGAAACTTTTGTTGTCACTCGGGTTGGAAAAAAGAAAGGGGTGAGGGGCATTTTAGAGATTATAGCTCTGGTGGAAAATTCCTGGAGGGTGGTGTGTGGGGCTTTTTGTTTTGTTTTGTTTTGTTTTTTTAACTTGTCCCTCCCCCCTTTCCCTTCCCCCTCCATAAAAAAGGGTTTTTTTCATCTTTTTTGTGTTTTTTTTTTTTTCTTTTTTTTTCCTAGTACAAAATCTGTCTGGAAAACTGTGCTTGTCCCCAGAGGTCCCTTTTAACCAAAAAAAAAACCACCCCAAAAAAGCCCCAACAAAAACCTAACCCAAACTATGGGAACATTTGTGTTGGTTTTTTTTGTTTTTGTTTTTTTTTTTCCTGAACTAGAACTGAAAGTTATCTTTTTCTTGAGTGTTTTCTTGTAGCATTTCAGGTTACACTCCCTGCCGCCCCTCTGAGAAAACATACCTGTGTTTTTAGCGGGTAGGGAAATGTGGAAGGGAAGAGGAATTGCACTTTAATGTACTTTGACATGAATTTTGTTATTTTATTAAATATATATTTATATTCTATTTTAAATATATATACACACACATTGCCTGCAAGAAAATGTAGGCATGTTCCTAATGCCTGATGCAGACATTAAGAGCTCATTTCTGAGCTCTAAAATAAAAGTGACACTGGATTTTAAACATTTTCTCCCATTTTTCCCCTTATTTCTTTAATGAGATGGCTCTGGGTGCACAGCATGCATGAGAAGTCTTTTTCTCACACCTTTTTTTTTTTCACAGCTTCAGTCCTGATACAACCCAGCAGGAGGAGCGGGAAAGAGGAGATGATGTTGTATCGGAGCATGAGGATCCAGGACATATACCTCCCTGGGGAAAGAACCTCAGTATTTGGGTCCAGTCCTGTCCAATTTCATATAGTTTTTGTCATCTTTCACATCTTTGCGGACTTTGAGTTAAACCTGCAGGCTGGCTCGGTGTAGGGGTGGCTCTGTCCCTGGAGACACTTGGTTTTACACAAAACGTGGTAGCTGTATTTGTATTTTTATAATAATAGCCGCCTAATACCTGCCCGTCTTGACTGTGTCATGAACATGGAGCATGCAACGGGTGCTCACACCCTCCTAACGAGTGCGCCGTGCCCTAGGTCTTGATAGGGTTTTTAGTGCTCCTGGTTGGTATTTTGCAATGTACGGTCTGTAGCTGCTTTAAGAGACCACAACCACAGATGTGAAAGTGTTGAAAAGGAGGAGATTGGTTTCAGTTCGAATGGGTCCTTCAAAGCTCTCTAGTTACTGCAGAAATCGGACATACCATACGTGCTCTCAGTGTGTGTCTCTTCTATCCAGCCTAGCTGAGTTTGTTACCTCTTATAATGAGTTTCTTGCCCTCTCCCATGGTTTCTCACTGGCTCTAGTTTTGAAAATCAATTGTGGCTCTTGAGCATCTTTCATGAAGAGGGAGGAAAGGAGGAGATGAAGAACTGTGTCGTACTCCATCACCTGCTGCGTGGGCTTTCTGGGCCCTGAAAGGTTTCTGTCCACCTTATACCTCACAAACTGGATCCAGCCCCCTGGACAGTGCGTCTGGCCTGTGGGTCCCTCTCCAAAGGGCCCCATGGGCAGCAGATCTGGGCTACGAGCTGGAGGAGCTGGAGAAGCAGTGGTCACCCACACTCAGCCACTGGCTTTTCTGAGGATCTGTCTGACCTGGTGATGAAGAGACCTGTATTTCCAAGACACGATGGGCTGGGAGGGACTGTGGCATAATCTTCGAATGCCTCTCTTAACAAGAAGGCTAGACATCGTGTCTTTTGACCCATTTCGGTCAAAAGATTGTATTTGCAGTGCTGTATTTTTTCCTCTGCGCTTCCAGGGGCGAGGTTGCCTTCCACACTTCAGTTGTCTCTCCTTCTTTTGCAGATGAAGAAGAAGCTCTGAACTCTATTATGAAGGATTTGGCAGCATTGGGCAAATGTGGGGGGCTGCTGGACAACAACAGGAATAAAAACAGTGTCCACTCCAGCAAACAGGTAAGGCATTGCTTGAGTCCACCTCAAACTCCAGTAGACCAGAGAGGTGGGCATGGCGCTTACCATGCTGGGAGAACAGAGTTGACGTGTTAGAACTGAAGTTAACAAGTGTTGCACGAGCTCAGCACATCAGAAATAACATCGTTTTACCAAGGCATAAGCTTTAGGATCTCTTTTTGAAGAGCTGAAAAGAGGTTACAGGCATCCCTGTATCACAGAGGAGCAATGGCAGAGCAGAGAAGAGCGATACCCCAAATCATTCACAAATATAGCGACAGAGCCTGAAACTGGTTTTAAATCTCAAATCCCACCCCAAGGCACTTCTTTCTCTTGCTTAGCACTGAAAGTAGTAGAACTTGTTACAGGCTATGCAGCTTTAAGATTTGGATTAGTCAAATGTTTTCTATTGATAGCGTTGATGAAATACGGTATTTATCATGTGCACATTTTACTTCAGATATTTGAAAGACAGACTGCCAACTTTGAGCTGTAGACACCCAGGGTCTTTTGGGAAGAATAATGTCATTCTTATATAAAGTGTTTAAATATTAATTATTGGTGTTTATGCTCCTAAAACCAAACATTTTGGCCCTGTTGCGCATTCAGAGTTGATTTGGTGAGCAAAAACGTTGTCCCTTGAGCAATGTCAGAAATTATTCGCTGACACTGATATAATAGCTAAAGTGGATGTAATAGCCTGTTTGTGTATGGAACAAATATTATGCGAACACGAAAGTTGTGAAGAAGGAATTCAGTTGTCAAAATAGCAAGAAAAAAAAAAGAAGGGGAAAATAATTAAGAGGACCGGGAAGCTGCTGGAGAAGCATGCGAGCAAATCTACTTGGAATTCCACTTCTAGTGCTATGGCTTAGAATAAGCTTGCAATCAACTTTGCAACTGCTGAATGCCTAGCAAGGAAGAAAACAAATTGTCATTTACTGTCGTCATGCATATTTTAATGGCACTTGTGCTACTAACAAAGAACTCTGGATGCAGAGGGGAAAAGTGCGCACGTAGCATGTCTGTTTTAAAGTGTGTCCTGGCGGTAGCAGCTGTCCAAGTTGAATCACTGGATTTGTGTTCAGCTCATGCTGAAATAAGTCCAAGATGTTTACAAAACTGACCAGAGAAATTCAGAGCTGGCTCTCTGCAGCTGCAGGCAAAGCAGGGAATCCAACGCAGCTTTGGATGGCTCCAAGGGTAGCATTTTCTGCAAGTTGATGGGTGGGGACCATACCAAGCCACCTCGGGTTGCTTTCAGGATAGCAAAGCTTTTTAGACTTCTCTTAAATAACATACTTATTTCTCACAGTGGGGGAAAATCCCTGCTGTCGTTTTTGAAGACTGTTGCTGTAAATGCTGTAGATACACAGTTAACCAGATAATTAGTTGAAAAGAAGGAAAAGAATAGTTTTCATTGGCTGAACTCTTATCTACAAAAGTTTCATGAAGTTGATGTCTTGCAATCAAACTCATATCCACAGCCCACCCCCTCTGTATCTTCATTTATAAATCACCAACAGAGTTATGTTGTGCTCTGATATCAACTTCAGAATTGTTGGCTGCCGCTTGTGTTTAATTTTATTATATTAGGAATCAAACTTTCCTTCCCAATTACAACATTGATGCTTGCAAAAACGTTGCCTCCTTTATGGTTTTTCTTTTTATCCGTAAGCTCACCAGCCGTAGCCGCGTGCTCATAGTTACTCAGAGATCTCTGATGGAGGAGAAGCAAATAGTCAGCATCCCGCTCTCCTCGTGCATCCGGGGTTGAGGATTCAGACTGACAAGCCCCACGAGATGAAGGGCGTTGGAGTATGTTGAATTGTTGCTTCACTAAATTGGACTAGCTGGAACAAGTCTGGCTCGTGGGACGACGGGAGTCTAGTCTGCGAGGTGGGGAGTGTCCAAAGTAGGTGGAATTAGTGGGGACTTGGTTCATGTTTGCAGCTCAGAAACTTTTAATTGACTTGTTTGGGTCACTTTAAGTTTTTTTTTTTTTTTTCCTTGTTTTTTAGCACAGAAGTTGATGGGGGGGAAAGATTGCTCTGGAAATGCTGTTGTCATGCCTGTGATTTGTTATTCCTTTAGTACTTGGTGTTCCCTCTTTTTTTTTTTTCTTTTCTTTCTTTTTTATTTTTTTCTGTGATCAGGTTGGCTGTTTGGGCTGACGGATGCACTGCGCATTCTCCCTTCTTGGAGAGGGAGAGTGAGGCATGGGGCATTTAGATGCTAAATTTTCCTTTTGGGAATCTCATTGTAGGTGTCTCTTATGAGGCCCTGCAGCAACATGCTCACATTGAAATACTTGGGCCTGGACATTCAGTTGTTAGATTAAAAAAAAAAATCTTTTTTTTCTGTGGAAAAATGCTTTTCTGAGGCATGGGAATCCTTTAGTCAGTGTTCCAAATTTCCACTGAAAAGCACTTTGTGGCTTGCAGCAGTTTTTTGGTCCACAGAGAAACACAACCAGAGTGCTATCTCATCCCTGTCTCCTGGAGGGGTTCCTTAGTGCTCTCTTGACAGCAGTTGAAATTTGGAGCCTGGCAGATAGTCTTCCTGGTAGGCCTGGGCCACACAAGAAAGTAGTCTGTGGTTGTGTTTGCTGCACAATATTTCTTCCCAAAAATATCGACAGTTTTGCTTCAGATCGTCTTATGAAATGAACGTCCTTTGGCAAATTGCGTAAAAATCTTTCTTTTCTGAATTTGCTTTCCTTACAAATGAGTTTAGGACTAAGGCCGAGTTTCTGGATGTCTAATGCCTCACGGTAGAACAAGCTGGAGACGAGAAGAGCAGTACTTGGTGCACGGTGCGGGCGAGTTTCCTCCTTTAGGTTGCCCAGGCAGCTGGCAGCAGATGTGATGGCGGAGCTTGAATCTCCCGAGTCCTGGTCCGGTGTGTCGGTCACTACGTTACGCTGCCTTGTGAGAAAACAGGGTAGAGGGATAGAGATGGACACCCTTTTCCTTCCGCATGGAAGTTACAATCTTTAAAACAGAGCCGTTCTTCGGGGACAGAGGGAGCATCCTGACATTGTTCCTAGTGCATCCTCTGCACTGTTATTCCTCCATTATTCCTTTTATCACTCCATTATTCCTTATGCATCCTCTGGCGTGGCTCGAAAGAGTCCTTTCAGGCAGTGTCCTGGACTGGACAGACAAAGGAGTTTGTTTATGGCAGTGGCTCGGAAGAGGGGAAGGAGGAAACGGCAGAATAAAGATCTGCATTGTGATCACTAAGGAAAAAGATGAGTGGGATAAGAAGGGAAACCGCAAAGAATTAGAAATCCCAAACAAAAGCATGGAGGAGAAAGGAGCAATTATATTAACATTTATTTCGCATCTGTCTATGTGCACATCCATTTATTTATATAAATAGCGCTTGACAACTCGCAGTATGAAGTTGGTTGTCAGTGCTGCCTTCGGTCTAATGGCAAGGCATCGGTGTGGGCCTCTATCACAGCTGATGACAGCTAGCAGTTCCTCTGCCACGTTAAATTTTGATTGCAAGTTCTCCCACGGCAATAAAGTCCAAGACTTGCGAGGAACGTTTTCCCATGCACAACAAATGTCAGACTGACCTAAAAGTTGTTCTTTTAGGAAATTACCTCTTTTCTTTGGCAAGTTGGATGCAGGACAAGGCTTGCTCATAACTAGAATAAAAGACAGCTCATGTTCTAGGGCTCTCTGTTTGGAGGTCTCCAAGCAGCCTAAAAGGAGTTTGGCTTTATCACCTCTGTTTTACTGTTGGGGAATATGATGAGAGTCTATAAATATCACCTTGAAGATGGGATTCTCTGGGAGGAGATCTGCAGGGATTGCCCCACCTGCGGTCCAGAAGCAAGGGACCAAGAGGGCAGCAGCACCGGTTGGGAAAGGCTTAGCTGGAGACGGCAAAGGCAGTGGAGTTCCAAGGATCTGGGGAAGAGGCTTTCCCTTGTCTGTGTGTGGAGCTGACTTGGGTGCTAAGAGGGTAATACCAAGGAGAAATCCAGCTGGAAGAAAAGCTATTCCCTGCCAGGTAGGTGGTTTTGGATAAACATTTTGAAGCCTGTGATTTCTCCTGCTGTGTAAACCAAAAATATCTAAAAAAGGGAGCAACGAACCCTCTAGACATCATCTTTCTGCTGGCCTCTGAGCTGCTCACGTGCTGGGCTTGCTTTTTTGGAGGAAAAGAGCTGTAAGGATCCAGGGGGACCAGGCTATCTCGTAACTTCCACCCCCTGAGAGGAGAAGGGGGCAATCCCAGACAAACCCCTTTCTGTCTGATTGCTGAATAACCCGAAGCGCGTGGGGGTTCTGTGCAGATAATTCCTAATGACGAGGATTAGTCATCTCCTATTGCGGTTCAGGGACGCGGTCCAGCTGTCTGGCTTGTAACGAACGTCCCGTTGCTAAAAGCAGGGGCGAGCACAGGACTAATGCAAACAACGTGCACGTCGGGGAGGTGCAGAAGTCCCCTCGGCCTGGCCCTGCGGTGCTGATGTCTCTTGGCCGAAGCCAGAAGTTGAGGAGAAATCCCACCGCTTTGTGGCTTTGTACAAAGGAGTAACTAGAGCACTAATGTTTGAACGCCGCACCGCTCAGCGGGGTTTTCTCACTGTTTCCTAATACAACAAGTAGAAAACGAGAGAAGTGAATATAATCGCTCTGTTTACCCTCCAGCATGCAGAAACGGGTCTCCTTCATTGCCCCTGTTTTACCCAGGGGGGAAAATGAGGCAAAGTAAGTGCCCAAGGTCTCGCGAGTGGCTAAGAGCGAAGCTGGAACGAGCCCCTCTTGGTGCAGCGCTGAAGGGGAGGCCCCTTGTGATGATTTTTCCTGCCTTTCTTGACCTCAGAAGGGTTAATGCTGGAGTCAGAGGCTTTGTCCCAGGTGGTTTGTGAGGCAACCATGGATTTGGATGGAAGGAGTGATCCAAAGGCCCTGTCCCTGTGGTGTCTCAGCATGGGCAAAGCTGTCCTCTGGTTAGGTTTGACAAGAGCAGCTTTAAAAGCGAGCCACAGAGGTGGAATCCGACCAGAACGCTGTTTCTGAGGGCGGCTGAATTTGGGAGGTGGAGAGGACGTGATGGGGGGAAGTCTTTGAACTCGGCGCTCATCCGGGATTTTACAGCGTGGCAGTTTTGGGTGCTTCAGCTCTTGGTGCCACACCAGGGCATGGGCAGACGGGGAGGTGCGGGGCTGTCTCCCCCCCTGGGTCCCTGCCCGCCGTCGGTGGCATCGAGGCGAGGCAGCGAGGGTGTCCCTGCGCCATCGGTCGCCCTTCTCCATGGGCACGGTATTGCTCAGCTTGGACTTGTGCCCCCGATCTGTTCAGCAGCCGAGGGTGCACAGCACCTCCTGTTCCTCCAAAGCCACTTCCATTTTAGGCCTAACCGCATGTTTTCCTGCTCTCCGTGTGTGCTTTTATTACAAACAGCAGTCAGCTCTTCAGGGATCTCTGTATAAGATCATGATTCACCTCGTTTGGAAACACTTTTTTCCATTTTTTTTCCAACGTTTTCCTTAATCTAAACCAGCATGCAGGGCTGCTTGCTCCAGCTCCGGGGGCCGAGCTTGGCCGAGCCCGCCAGGGTGCACGGTCCCCAGCCGAGCGCCTCACGGGCAGAAGTGGTTGTACCCCCTTTCCCCCCCTCCCCGATTCCCATCAGTGCTTCCTCTGAAGCTCGGCAGTTGTGGTCTTTTCGTGAAATTAGAAGTTTTGAGGAAGGAGCTAAAAATACCTCAAGGAAAGCCTGAAAAGATGGTGATGTGTTTGCGGCCACGGCGGTGGCTTTGCTTTTTCCTTTCCGAGACAGATGGCAAGAAAGAGTAAAATACCATTTGTTAGCGGGGCTGGAGGAAATGCCGGTACAAGTATCTCGGAGAAGAAATTATTCCAGAAACGAAGGGAATTACTGTGGTATTTCCTGTCAGGGTTGTCGCTTATTTTGTTTGTGTCGCAGCAGGGCCTACAGGCGCCAGCCGAGACGCGGGCTCCTCCGTGCCCCATGTCATACGGAAACGCACGTGGAGAGGGGAAAGTTGCTTAGTCCATACGACCCAGGAGATCAAACATCTAAATTTTGTGCTTGGCTCTGCCAGTCAGCTTCATAGAATGAATCACAGAATGGTTTGGGTTGGGAGGGACCTTTAATGATCATCTAGTCCAACCCTTCTGCTGTGGGCAGGGACATCTTCCACTAGATCAGGTTGCTCAAAGCCTCATCCAACCTGATCTTAAACATTTCCAGTGATGGGGCATCCACAACTTCTCTGGGCAACCTGTTCCAGTGCCTCACCACCCTCATCATAAAAAATTTCTTCCTTATATCCAATCTAAATCTACCCTCTTTCGCTTTAAAACTGTTTCCCCTTGTCCTGTCACTACAGGACCTGGAAAAAGTCTCTTCCCATCTTACAAGGCCCCTTCTATGTATTGAAAGGCTGCAATAAGGTCTCCTTGGAGACTTCTCTTCCCTAGGATGGGTTTTTTCTTCACACCCTTAGGAAAAGCACCTCGTGCCTCAGTTTCCCCTGCTTGCTCTGTTACCTGCCTCGGCTTTCACAGTGCTCCATGAAACCGTCAATGAAATCCTCTGCCAGAGCTCAGTGTTTAAGGCTGGTGCGGCATGGCCTTACCCCTCTCCTCCATGCCCTTCTTGGATGTCTCAGCTTGTTCTCCGACACCAACTAGTGACCTTTTGATTGTGGGGAGAACAGGGCTGCCATGAACCTCATTTGACAGCTGATGGCAGGGAGGGTAAATAGCACAACTCGGATTGTGCAAGGAGGAGTCGCTGTTATCTTCATTCCTCAAAAAATTGCAAAAGTGAGTAGGACCCGGCAGCCTCCACCACCTGCACCTCTTCCAGAGCCTGCTCTCAAGCAGTTGCATGTTGTGTTGAGGTCTGTACGCAGGAGATGCTGATCCTGCTTTCCCCTTGATCGTGCGTTTGAGACTCTGGGTGCAGACTTGTGTGAGATTTTGCTCCAGCACTTGGCAGTGCCCCAGGCTCCCTGTGTAATCTCAAACCAGTTGCTCCAAACCAGATTTCCATGGGTGTAAAAAATCACAGCCTGCTCCGGCATTTAGGAAGTGCTTTGTATCCCCCTGGGATTTCCTAATGCTTTGGGCACTGCCCACTTTTTTATTTAATTTTTTTTTTAAAAGGAAAAAAGTATTTGTTGCTGATAGCAGTGGTGAATTCAGCTTTAGCTGTGGGTCAAAAACATGAGCAAGCCAAGGGAAGACTGCAAAATAAAACTGTAACCAACTTTTCAGACTATAGATAAATATATATTTATCCCTCTCCCAAATGCTTGTGAGCTTAAGGTCTTGGTTTCTTTGAGGGAGGCAAGAGGTTAGTGTGTTTTATATCAGAAAAAAAAAAAAAATCCGATTAACAAATGAAGTGGGTTTTCATTCCCCTCTTGCAGCCCATGTGTTTGTTGCTCTGCTCCGAAGCAGAGCGGAGCAGTGCGGGGCAGCTGGCTTACTTCTCTTGGCTTCGGGCCACAGCACATCAGCCCTGTTCTCTCTCTGGAGCTTTATACGAGTGTTTTGACATTTTCCAGCCACAAGCTGTTTTTCCAAACTTATTTGTCTGCGAAATCTGTGTTGCTCAGCATAAACAGGCAGTGCGTGCTACGTCCCAGCTCGCTGCAGCGTTCGGGTCTGTGCTGAAAGTGAAACCTGTGTTTTGAAAGGTTTCCTGCAGCAAGGCCGGAGCTGCGTGAGCTTTTCCCCTTACACGTCCTGCTCCTTTGTAAGGAGAAACCTCGAAAGTTCCTCGCCCTGATTTTTTTCCCTTACTGTAGAGAAGGGCTTTGCAGAGCTACATGCAATGAACCCACGCCGGCTGATTTACTGCCAGCATCCAGGAGGGGTGAACCAGCCAGGCCCTGTTCAGAAAGGCTCGTGCAAATAAAAATTGGCATAAAAGAGCCCATATCTTTTTTCTTTTCCAACAGAGATAATCTAAGGTGGCAATCCCACCCGTATTTGCCTGTCTCTGTGGAATGATTTGGCCCTTCAACACTAGGCTACTTATGGTCATCTCTTCTCCTTTTGAATTTTCGACTGGTTTAGAGTTAGTTTAGTATTTTTACGGGTTGGGCCTGGTTCTAGAAGTGAACCTGGAGTTTGTCCAAACATTGTGGGTCTGGAGAACTGGCTGGAAACACCAAGGTGATGTAAGTGCCTGTTTAGCACAGGCCTGTAACACTACTGGAGTGCCCCATTTGGTGACTGTCCTGGCACCGGTTCTTCCCAGCCTTTCTGGAAACAGAAAATGCCACGAGCAGAAATAAAAAGGATGCGTTTCGGATGATCCAACATGTTTACCCTGAATCTGCTGGGTTTTTTTAAGCTTTTCAACCGAATCGCCTCCAGCCTTGACTTCCTGAACTTCGATGGGTGTTTGCAGAACTCAAGGAGGTGTCAGTTTAAAAATAAACCTAAGGACGCCTGTCCAGCTCATTTTCCTCATTAGAGACAAAGCTGTTTCACTGTGGCTCTGCTTTCCCTCTGAGAGGATGGAAAGTGTGCCTTCACGCGCTGGCAATCCAGGGTTAGAGATAAGGCCCTTGCTCAGGAAGGGCCGTCACCCACCCATTCGGGGATTATCCCTGTGAGATGCAGGCGGTGTGGGACCGAGCCCTCCATGGGTGTTACACCTCGGAGGGAGGCGGAGAGCACTTTTTTCTCCATGGGAGGAAAACCACTATTTGAGGAGGCTTGTGTGCACTAGCGGGGGCAGAGCCCTGGTTAACTGGGGTGATTAAACTGGTCTGGGAAGTAAAGGGGGTTTTGATCTGCCTTGGAGACCATCGGAAAGTCCTGGAATGAGCCAAGGGATGCTAGAGGGGTGCTTGGCTCAGGCTTGGTCTGAGAAGCTGAATGAATGAAAAGGCTCCTTGTGGTCTCGATCGCTGCTAAATATGCACAAATAGAGGATGGGAGAACTGGCTTTTACTAGTCCCAGCGCAGCTGCGTGCCCAGTCTGCCCGTGACTCTGCTGCCTCTTCTTTGGGCAAATTTAATTCTTTCTCTTGAGGTGAGCAACAGGTCAGTTCAGGGTGGGCATTTACTGTGTATAGTGTAGTGATGCCTGATATAATTTGCATTTTGTGTGTCCTAAGAAAATAACAGCCCCCCCCCCCAGCACTGTTGGCTTTTAAAATCCAGGACTGCCTCTCCACTTCCATTACAGCAGGCTTGCTTTTACTTCTTATTTCTTTGCCCGGGATATTCCTGTGTTCTATTAAACATCCTCTGAGCTTTGCTTGTTGGGTTTCCAACAGAAAAGTACTGGGGTAAAACTATGGGAAGCACTGAAGATGGACAGACATCAGACATTGACATGTTTGCCTCCTTGATAATAGTGCCTTGTTCCCAACTAAGTTCAGAAAGTTCAGAGCATTCAAAATTTTCCACTTTTATTAATGCATTTTATTAAAACTAACAGTTATACAGATGAGTGAGTGTCCTCTTGTTTACAGAACACCTCATTTTCTACAAGCACATTTATCAGCAACGTGGAGTTTCCCCAAAGCCCGTGGAGTTTCCCCAAAGCAGGCAGCTTGGCCCTAAACAGACCAGACGCCCACTGGAGTTAGGGGAGTCTCCCTGGGGACTGCGGCGGCTTTGGGTCTGCGTGTCAGTCTGGGATGCAGTTTAGGACCTAACCATTTTCTGCTTTTTCTTTCAGCAGCGAAATGTCAGGATCAAGTTTGAATATGAAGGAGAGAAAAGGTACGTGCCCAGCCCAGTCCCCCACATGTACAGGGACAAATTACCCTTTTTACCCAACATCGTCCTACTGCCTTCAGCCAGCTGCAGATGAGCTCACAGCAGGATTCGTTCCCCTAAAATCAACTACAGTTTTATATACAAGAGCCTTGCCTCGTCATCCCATTTGCCACAAGTACCTCCTGGGATTTGCACGCAGGCAAAGTAGTTCCAAGCTGGAAGTCATTAAATGCCTCTTACCAGGGACATAGGGTGCACGCTTGGATCCTTTTCTCGTTTTAATTCTTGAGCCCTGCTGACCCACCGCTGAGCTGCAACTCTACACAAATGTGTCCTTTGATTAGCAGCCTATGACACTTGAGATAACCAGATTTTGGGCATGGGTCCCATAAAAATAGAGCTGGGAGTTAAAGCTTGCCCGCCCTTCCCTGCTTGACATTTTCATGGAATCACCTCTGCTTGGTGCTTGGTGACTGTGGCAGGGCAGGACACAGGGCTGGAAACTCGCAGCCTGATGGTCCAAGTTGCATGTTAAAGCCAAAGAAAATTTAAGTAATGTCACCGTAGGGCTAGGCTGTACCTGCTGATATGTACCTATAGAGCTGCTGCATGTGGGGGTACAGGAGAGTCACAGGATGCCCAACTGCATTATTCTCTCTTCCATCCCTCCTCCCTATTCAGAGCCACTTGCTGAAAATGGAGATGATAAATCACTGACCAGTGCCTGATCCTGGGTCTTCTCCAGTGAAGGGCTGCTGGACTTTCTTCTTTTCCACCTGTACCTCACATGAGGGGGAGAAGCAGAGGAGCTGCAGTAGGATTTTTGGTAGATATTCTTGCAGGGTAGGTCAAGCCTCCTCTTGGGCATAGCAGACGAGCAGTATAAGCGTAAAAGCAAGGAACAAGCTTTATGCTTCTTGATAGAAGCATACAGTTCCTTGCTTCTGAACTGTCAGTCTACTCCGAAATTCCAGTATGCTTCTACTAAACTGAGACTATTGTTGTATTTGTTTGTGTATACAGGATTATCCAGTTTCCAAGACCAGTCAAATTCAAAGAAGTGGTGCAGAAGGTCACGGATGCTTTTGGACAGACGATGGACTTAGTCTGCGTGAACAATGAGGTACTCTTCTCCTTATCACTAAGGGAGAGTTTTAGGGTGCCTGGTGCCCACTTCAGAATTGAGCAGTGGTTTGTTCTTAAGGCACTAACTTAGCATTGTACATGGATGTGAAGAAAATTAATCTTATTTTGTGGTTCCCAGCTAGTGAGCGTACAAGAGCTGTTGTCCAGACACAGTTCAGTTGGACTCTCAGACTCCAAGCCAGGCTTGCTCCTTCTCAAAATTATTTCAGTTAAGGCCTATTAAATGGTGACACAGGAACATTGTCTTTTCCCTCGAAGAAGAAATCCCCCTAACTCAAACAGGGGGAGGAATTAAGTAACTGAGATGATGAAGACACTGTCAGTTCAGCTACACAGTCAGCAGCAGTAGATGTTTTCCCGTGAACACCCTTGGGGCAATAGGACCGACTTTCAGAGTATATCTGGCTGGTGAGAGCTCCCACAGGGCAGAGAGGAGAACAGCTGAGACCAAATGGCTTTCTTGAGAGCCGCATGAAGTGACTGTAGGCTACTGCGTGTTTGGTTTGGATGTGAAGCCTTTCTGTCTTGGGGGCAGTTGCAGGAGCACGGTGAAGTCCGGAGCATGAGGGACAGTGCTGCTAACGCAGCGTACTTTTATCCATCGCTGACTTTGTTTCACCCCAAAACCCCAGAACCATGTGCATGTTCTTGTGGTTAGGTCTGCAGTGAAATGTGCATCGCTGTAGGTTCCTCTAGCAGGTCCTGTGGCCACGTACAGGCAGCCAAGAAACCCCCCCTCTGTGATCCTTGCATTTTAAGGCTTGAAGATCTTTCTCCTCCAACCTCCTTCATAGCACAGGCCACTGTGGTTTTCCAACTTCTTTGAGCCCAGCACTGTGTCTGAAAGGACACTGATGAGGACACTGATGAGGGCCTTTACCTAGAAGGGGGCAATCCTTGGCATCTGTTTTGGTGTGCTTAGTGTTTTCTTATGAGGCATCTTGCCATGAACTGGGCAGGCAGCTGGAGCCACTGGACTCTTAAGGTGGGTTTGGCTTTGGGAAGGAGGAGAGTGCCAGATGACAAATAGGTAGGCTTTTAAACACCAATTCTTTTGGATCTGTCCTGACAGCTTGCTTGTTCCAGTATTAATTGTAAAAGACTAACAGCCTTTCATTAAAGTATGAATGGAGAGAGAGGTCATGAAGAGAGTTTTCTCTCTTTTTTTATTCTTTCTTTTTTTCTTCCTTCTGTTTCAATGGAGATTTCATCCACAAAAAGGTTGCTATTCTTTTATAATAGGTACCTCACGATACCAAAGTGTCCGCTGGGTTTTGGCTTTGAATGTGGTCAGGTTTCTAATCTTGGGCATTCTTTGACAGCCCTCCCGGGAAAAGCCTGCCATTGAATTCTCCAGGAATGACTCATTTCATTCCAGGTTTCTTTCCACTGGAAGAGGAATTTTTTCCAGCAACAGCAAACAGAAGCATAAATAATGCATTTTATCCCATGTTAGAGATTGTCTTCCTGGGCATGTGCACAGCACATAGCAGGACCATGAGCAGGCCTTTGGGTAGTCCTAACTTCCTAGGGCTGAGAAGGACCTTCAGTGTTTTGTTTTTCTATGCATAAATATTCCTCCTTGGGGGAACCCACACCTTTGGGAAGAGGTCTGAGCAGTAGTAATTCAGGGTTATCATTGTGGAAACACTATAAACAGACAAAAGTGACCTCTGGGGAGATAGCCTACGTGTCCACATCGTGACACCCCGGCATCTGGCTCCTAGCATGTTCTGGGTCAGGTTTTGAATCTCATGGCTGCAAGTCCCAGAGGTAGCCTGACCACAGACTCATCGCACTTAAATGTTTCACCCTTTCTTCATGCTCAAAGGGAACTGTGCAGTAATTCTTTGTTGCCGTCAGATGTTTCTCTTGCAGTAGCACCTTGTAGACCAAAATTACACTGAGGTCAACAGGCCCCTACAAAAGCTCACTGAATGGCAGTCCCTGTCCCGGTGAAGCAGGAGTCCTGAAGCCAAGATCAGCGAGATGAGCATGCCAGTTGGGTGGAGCAGGGGCACGCATGAATCACATCCTGGTGGGACCATGGAATCAGCGGGCTTGGGCTGGTATAGATAAGAGCGGGGCCTGGCCGTGGGTGTACCACATGGGGCATGTCTGCATGTCTCCACTAGGCTGGGCTCATCTTTCTGATGATCGGGACGGCAAAATCTGGCCTGGCCATGGACAGCACGGCGTGGTGTTTGTGAGACAGTGGGCTGTGTTATGGATTGAAAGACTGGCTTCTACAGCAAATGCTCTGTCTGAATTTGATCTGTATGCACTGCTCAACAGCTGCTCCAGATGTGACTGTTACCTTGCCGTTTGTCCCTTCTCCATCACCAACTTATGACCTTGGGCAGAACACTGAACCTTGGCGTGACGCCAGTTCCCTCCTGCCCTCCCCTTGCTTGTCTCCTCTGATGCTGACCCTCAGCACCATTTTGGAAGGTTAGGGAGAGTTAAAGCCTAGGGAAGTGGTAGAAGCTCCGTTATGGGGGGGAAGGGGGGTGTTTAAAAGCATATTTAACAAACATTTGTCGAGAATTGTTGATGCCAGTTGGTCCTGCATTGGGCAGGAAGATGAACTAATTGACCTCTCAGATTTTTCCCCAACCCTGTTTCCTACTATTCTTTGGCTTTCTGCAGTGTCTTACAGAGTGAGGTCTAGCAATACTGCTGCAGTCGGTGAAAACTCACCCTTTGCACTCACTTTCTTAGACTGCAGTGGATTGACTACCAAGTCCCATACTAAAACATTAGGCTCCAGGGGAGTATACTATTTAAAAGCAAGAAGGAAATCTAATAAGCTCTATTTAGTGAAACTTCTGTGTAGGTAAACTTTGCTGTTCATCATGGCTGCTCGTTCTGTAGACAGAATAAACCCAGTTACTGGCAGTGCACCCTGGCAGTTACTTCCATGGGTTTGCATGAATCTATATTTAATTTCGTGCCTAGTAGATATCTGTTCCTGATACCCATATGTGCCACAGCCTGGAAGCCAAATGGAGCAAAATTTACTTGCCAGGTGTGGGTAATAGGTAAAGCCAAGCTAAATACTGGCTCCAGTCCTTTTTACAGGAGGGCAATTTCTGCCTGATGTTTTTGGCTCCTCCGAAGCAGGCATGCAAACGTGTTAATGTTGTGATATTGGAGTGAGATGGAGTGACCTGCAGAACATTCTGTTCAAAGCAGCAGCTGAGGGACTGCAGCTCTGAACACTTGTGAGGAGCTCAGTAAAAGGATGGGTGAGCAGTGGGACTCTACTTACAGTTCAGAATTAAATTCTGCTTGGTGGCGAAATGAGGGGGAGCAGCTCTCCACCATTCCCAGTTCTGTTTGGGTGAGCATAGGAGAGAGCTTTTCTGCTTGATGCACCTGTGGAGCCCTTGTGAACTTCAAGAGGATTAAGCAGTGCACCAAGAGAATATCCCTTAAGCTCTGCTGCTTAAGGAAGCAGACTGTGAGGACAGCTGCACAGCATTTGGGAGACTTGTTCAATACCATCTTTGTCTGGTATCTGCTGTGACTGCGGGTGATTCATCCAGATCCCAGAGCTTAGCCATGAACCATGGTCTAACCATGTACTCCATTGACCTGCTGAAAACCCTGAATAGTTGATAGCTACCTGGTGAGTACTTTCATTCCTGTCCAAGCCCTGTCCCAGACTGGGAATCTATTTCCAGCCTTGCTTGTGAGGCCCAGCCCAGACAAGACTGGTGTTAGTGTTCTCTGCACAGCCCTCAGCTGGTTAGGTCCCTTGCTTGGGAGGTAAGGGACATCTTCCTGAACTCTTCCCCATCTGGTTTGGCTGAGAACTCAAGTCCCTACAGCCTGTAGGGTATCCCGGGGCAAGGCTTCCTCAAGAGTTCGTCTTGGAATCTTTTTCCTACACACAAATAACTAAGTAGTTGTCAGACAAAGGCTGCACAGCCTGGTTATCCCTCTTCCTCGGCAAATGTGCTAAATGCTTTGCTCTAGAGTCTCTTTTCCTGTCTTTTTGTAGAAATTTCTCAACCACGTTTATGTACCTTACACCAGAAGAGCACTCCTAGCTCAACCTGGAGTTCTTTGCTTAAATATCTTTTGAGAACTGGTGTTGTCTTTCCTCAGCAATTACCACTGCTTCCAGCAATTACACCTGGCAGCTTCCTTTTCTCACCTGTTAATCCTGTTTCTGGATATCTAATTCTCCCATGCAAGCTATAGGGGTCCTGGTTATCTAATTTGGGACTGTAAACTCTACAGAATAGCAGGTTGCATTATACTCAGCTATTGCAGTGCCCCTTTGCAGACCTGGCTTTCAGTATCTCAAAGCTGGGTGCCTAAGCAGGACCACCTGCTATCCCCAGCTGCGGGAGCTTGGCTTTCTTGGTTAAGCCTGATGTTTATCATATGAAATAGGTGGCCTGCATGTGGCTCCGTTCCCTGTCTGCAAAATGGGGATGAAAGATAAGCTTCCTATCACACAGGAGAGGAGAAGCTCAATCCAAACCTTGAAGTGCTCACACTGAAGAAACAGCAGCCACGCAGACATCTAAGATGGAGCTTGGCAGGCTCAGGCTGCAGTCCTTGGGTGGAGGAGGTGACCGTAGCAGTTTCCCAAGGTGAAACCTCATCTCTCTTGGCCAGAGCCCACAGCCTTCCCTTGACCTGGTCATCCCCAAAGTCCTAGCCTCAGTGCACACAGTCTGAGGTGTATTTATGTACAGGACAACAGCCAAACCCCTGGCAACACCCTGGCATCAAAAAAGTAGACACAGGAGGCTTTTGAGTGTCGTCTTCTGGAGCGGTTGACCTGAGGTGTGTTTGCTGTGGCTGGTGGCATGAACCCTGATGACCCAGAGGGCTGAGCTGCCTTTCAGGAGTGTTGGGCAGCTGTGGCTCCCAGTAAGACCCAGTGAGAGCCTGCTGGGAGCTACTTGGTCCCTTCATAGGTGGAAGTGCTATGTAGTTTGGCGCAGGCATGAGTGTAACGTGCTGTGTTGGCTGGATTCAGTGCCAATGCCCGAGGCAACCTACAGAGGCTGAGGACTGTTTTTTTGTGAGATTAGGCAGAATGCCCCTGGAGGGGGGACAAAAAGTTGTGTTTTTAATCTTAGCCCAGGGCAGCAGAAGGCCACAGAGCTCCTCTAAAGTGCAGCTGTGTTGGGCATTGGAAGCTTTGCAGGCTGTCTGCAGGACGTGGTACACCACACAGCAATGTCAGGAGGTTCAGATTCCCTCTAGAGATATGAGGGCAATAGTCTGCCACTTACCAGGAAAACATCGGGACCTTTAGCTGCCTGGTAGACACGGCACTGTGGAGCTCTCTCTTCTATTTACCTTATGAAGGGCAAACGCTGAATTTGTCCTGCTGGGAGTCAAAGAAGTGGTTCTTGGAGGGAGAGCAATGCACACCTTTCACATCAAAAGGGAAGACACTCTTGCTTCTGAGATGTTCCCTTATTTCACCTGATGCCCAAACACTAGGGAGATGGTGTCAGTGCGCAGGAACACAGGCTGCAACAGTAGGGAAGGCCACTGAGGATTGCCAGAATAAATCCTTGGGTGCAGCTCACTGCTTTCTTGGAGCACCATTGCATGACCGTCTTCCCAGGAAGAAACCCAGGAAGAATGTGTGGGGCTGTTTTCAGGCCGGGTAGCAGCAGGTCTTGCCTACAAACTCCAAGATCAGAGCAACCCCAGAACAGCAGGCAGCAAGCCTAAGGTTTCATCTCAGCCCTCTCCTCTTTCCACTGGCTGAATTGGTGATATGACCTTTAAGCTTTCTCCTTGCATATGTTTTTTGTTGTGATTTTTTGCGTCTGTTCCTTGGTAGATGAGAACTTGGAAGAAAACGTTAGAGCTCGGCAAGCTGGAGGGCATGGGAGCTTTGTTTTCCATCCACTTTCTCAGGTTCCTCCCTTGTCCCCCGATTCCCAAGCTGTAAGGATCTGGCTTCCTCTGTTTACCCAAAAGTGTGACACTGCCGTGCTCTGGTGTTTGTTTAATCCCTTCCAGCTCCTGATCCCACTGAAATCCCAGGAAGATTTGGACAAAGCGATGGAACAGTTGGAGCTGAGCCCTTCCCTGAAGAGCCTGCGGATCCTCGTGAGCGCTCCAAAGAAAGCGAATGTGAGCCCTTCACCTTCTCTGCTCTTTTGTGTCCGGAGCGAGATGCCTTGTTATTGTGTTGGGGAGTGGAAATGAGTCTCCTGACAGTGCAGAGGAGAGGGGAAGCTGTTGATGAGGGGGGTCAGCCCTGCTCTGGCTCAGCTGCTCGGAAATCCTCCTGTGGTGGCAGCCCAGAGACTGAGCTCAGCTCCCTCTAGCTCCTCCTGCAACCTGTGAAGGGTTAAATACTGTACTGATCCTCAAACAAGGTTAAACCCCAAGAGAACCCCTTGCGCTTTGGGCCGAGGGATGTTGTCACCATTCCTCTGCAGCCTCTCCTCTATATACAGGGTGATGCCCTCGTCCTTGCCATGCTGGGTGGCAATGTGGGGACTGTTCCCTCCGTGTGGTGCTGCAGTGCTAAAGGCCAGGGAGAGCAAACTGGAGAATCCTTCAGCCTCATGCAAGACTGTCTTTTTTCCCATTATTTATTTATTTGTTTTTCCTGAGCTCAGTGGTTTTGCAGTTAAGCCTGTTAGCTTGACCTCGCCTGCACAGAGTGTCTTGCCAAAGCACATGTCGTGCTGCCCCAAGCACAGGCTGTAAAGCAAGGGATTTACTGATGTTGCAACTCCGTTTCTTCCTTGTATTTCCTAGAAGTACCAGGGAGACTGGGAGTCTTCAAACTCATAGTGCTTGTCCTCCTGCTACCTCTGGTGCTCGCAGCCCCTGGAACTTCTCTGCTGCTTTTGAGAGGCTCTCAAAGGGTGCAGGGAGCAGAGTCACAGGGGACCACTGAGCCATCGGCTGGAGTTCCCTAAATCCTGGGCAGAAATGGGGCGATCTGCCCTAGCAACTGCAGGAACATTGCAGTGTTGCAAGTCAGCTACTAAGAGCAGGGCAGCCAGGTAGATTCATGCATACCTTTGAGAGTAGGTCCAACTCTTCCTGAAGCATGTAACCATGCAAGAACATATGGTTCCGAGGTCATACGTAGAATTATCACAAAATCACAGTGCATTGTACCGTGTTAACTTAGTAAGACTTGGCCACTGCCAGTTAAGTTACCAGTTGGATTGTCATTTCCTTGCTTTCCCCCTTACCTGTCTTCCCTAGCAGAGCCTGATCCTCCGCTCTGTTCCTCTGCTCTGTTGCAGAGGAACCGCTGCAGTGCCTAGGCTGCCCCTGAAGTCTGGGGAGTGTGGAGGAGAGGCTCCCATTTTGGGACTGCAGACTTGGGTTCAGGGCAGGGATCAGTCTCTCCATCTACCTGGAAATAATGCCAGTGTGGGAATGGTCTTTTATGTCAAATATCTGTATTTATCATTATCAACTGGAGCTCAATCTTATCTTATTAGAGTATTTTAATAACAGATGTGAATTGTTTGTGAATGATTTTTGGATCACCCTAGATTATATGCGTGTCTTCTATATTTTTTTTTTTTTTTGGTTCTTGGCTGATATGGTCATGGGGAGCCAAATACATGGTTTCACATGGTGTATCTGCAAGGGCTCTGGCAGAGTCTGAATATTCCCTTTGTCTGATTACCAGCTCCTCCAGCCAAACAACAGTAAACAGCACGAAATGAGGATCTCCAGATCCATGGGTGATATCATGGGATCCCTGTACAAGGACTCTGAGAGGACGCGGAAGTATTCAACAGGTCAGTGAAATGCAACACTCTGCGGGGTGGTTTGTGCTGTTACAAGCTGGCCACCATCCCCTTTCTCTTTCCTGTCTCAGCCCTGTAGCTGCTACAGTCTGGACCCCCACCCTGACGTCTCCCACCAGTAGCTCAGTGCAGTCGCTGCTTATCCTCAGCCTGAGGAACAGACTCTGCAAGCTGCACAGGTTGGACGAGGTTGTGCTGAGCAGAGAGTTGCGTCGGGCATGAAAATTAAGAAAAGTAGGGGATCTGAGGTGTAGTTTGAGGGGGGAAATGCAGTGATAAAAATCTTCAGTGAATTCGATGCTACTGAGCTTCATCAAAGTGAAGAGTAAGGATCTAGAGAAAGCCAAGGCTTTTTGAGACCTTGACATACTTATTCCTTTAATCATCTGCTGTCGTTCTCTCGCTGTCTTTCCCCCTTCCCCAGTTAGCAGAATAATGTAGCTGAATGGGCTTGGGTTCCTTAGCTCCTGAGCTGGGACCAGCTCCACCACATAAGGACCAAATATGTGTCTCTGTGCCACCAATCTGTTCTTGTTGGTCTGTGGTAGTTGCTTTTGTGGTTTCTCAGGAGAATGGATGCACGCAGTGTTTTTCAGTGGTCGCGTTTCAGATGAAGGGGAGCATCCCTTTCCTTCAGAGGCACTGGGAGCAGATACCTGCAGCCTCTGAAGCCAGGCTGGCAAATGCCTAGTTTCTTCTTGCAGCCCTGCAGGGACTGGAGTTTGTTCATAGCCTTGTGCGGTCTTTTCTTTGGTTTTCTCTGCTTGAGTTTATGCTTTTCTTGCTTTCTAAAATACTCTGAGCTTTTTGAAATGACAAGTACCCTCGATAAACTGTCTGTAGGACCTTTTGTGTGAAGAACCTTGTAGAATTTTGTAGAGAGCAAGGTGCCTTGTGCAGAACTGGTAAAGCAGCCCGTAGGACTGTATAGCAGGGGTATAATTATTCATATTATAACCTATAGGCAGGATCAATGATCTTGAAATACAGTGAATATTCTCTGCTGCATCTGTGGGTGCTGGTTACAGGGTAATTTCAACAGATCCCTGTTTTCATACAATTATTCGACAAATGGAGAAACAACAGAATCAGAGGCCTTGAGTGAAGTAGGATCCTCCTATAGAAATATACATGAAGATATGCTTCATTCTGCAACGATCCTCTGTACTTATATGGCAGTAACCACTTAAACTCTTTTCTATGGGCAACAAAGAGTATTTTTCTCAAAGGATTTGTCCTTCCTTTGTCTCATAGCCTGTGCTGCCTTGATAACATATCCTGTGGTTTGCTGCATCTCAGACAATGATATGTAGGAAATGTTCTTCTAGGGTAGGTCCAATATAGCCCCTTGTGCAGCCGTGCCCAGATGTTACTGTAGCCAGGGGTGGGTGGTACATGTGCAAGAGCTCGCTTTGGGCCTGTTGTTTGGATGTGCCAGGCATGTCTTTTTCTGTTGTGTTTTTTTTTTTTTTCTAGCTCACACGGCTCTTGAGAGTTTGCCCCGAGTCTGGCAGAGTCACTAGATGATTCTGAATGAAATGCACACACAAACACATGGTAAGGCACAGAGCCTCAGCAGAAACTGTGCTTGAGCAAAACATCTCTGCTGCTCTTTTTTGGCACTTGTTAAGCTGTTAACGTAAGCCAGCTAAGAGCTGTGGCACTAGGAGCTGTCACTGATGCGTGAACCCAGAATTGATCCCATGTGTAGCTGTGCTAGCGAGATGAGTTCTTGCGAAGTTAGACTTTCCTACTAGCTTTTATGCCATGTTTTGGCCTTCCCTTACTGTTTTGGAGCTACTGTAATACCAAGAGAGTCCCTGACCAGGTCCCTGCTGACTGTGAGGTGTCCCTGCCTTGAAGAGCATCCCGTAGATAAGGCAGACAAAGGAAGAGACGTCAGCTCTGCAAGGGTGCGAACCTGAGGTACAGATGGGTTTTGAGGGAATCCCTGAATAGCGGAGTGGAAGAATGGGTATAGCGTGCTGGTTTAATCTAGATAATGGAGGAGGAGGACTGGGCAGCACCAGATGTAGGGTGCAGAGTGTGCTAATGTTGGGATCTTCAGGAGAGTCTGCATGCCAATTGCTAATGCACCAAAACCAGGGTCCTCAGTCCTGTTACACAGGTAGCAAAGGTAACCAGTCGTCGCTCTGTTTTTTTCCATGCAGACCGTCAGTCTTGCTCTTAGTTTGAAAAGAGGTTGCGACAAACCCTCTGCATGGTAACAGCACACCAAACCTCTCTTTGGAGTTACCTGGGGTCTGTATGAAGCTACTACAGCCCTACTCAGGAGGTGTTCACAATCCAGCAGATGCAGTTTTTTGATCTCCTGAGTCAGAACTGGGTAATCTAGCAGCTGGGCAGAAACTCCAGTGAGCTGAAAGGGAGAGCGGTGTTTCAAATGGAGCATAAAACTGAAAGTCAGGCAGTAGACAGACAGAGGTGATCCTGTGTTGTGGTTCCCTGAACCGGGGATTTCACTGAACTTGGTGGATAGTCAAAAGGCAGCCTAAGAGGCTGGGATTTCTGTAGGAGCAGCTATTCTTCATTTGCAGTTGCAAGGTATTTCACAGTGTTTACTTCTGCTGTCATCAAAGTGGTTGGTATCAAGAGAGGGTCTTTACTTAGCTTTTTTCTTGAAACCACATTTAAAAGGAGATTTAAAGTGACTTTATAAAAAAAGGTGGTTTTGGGTCACGTTCTCAGTGTTTCTGAGATGTCTCATGGTTTTCTGCTGACTCTGCCATGTTAGCAGCAGCAAAAAATAAAACTGCATGTTATTGGCACAAGCACATTGGAAGGGGGGTTGATGTTCTGGGGAAGATTTGTCTATTTTTGCTTCTGCTGGACAGAAAATGTCTTCACTCCATGTCCCTGAAAAACCTTATACAAAGTCAATATTTTCTTTATTTTTTCCCATAAACTTTTTCAGTGGAAATCCCCCCGCCCCTTTTTGGGGGGGGGGGGGGGGGGGGGGGGGGGGGGGGAAGTGGAAAACGTTCCAGTCTCTTGGTGACCAGCATCTGCAAATGTTCAGCTGAGTGCCAGGAAACTTTGGCTAAAATCTATGTGGGTTCTGGACTTTCAGATAACTGAGGGTTGTTTTTATTTACTTTGAGGAAATACATGTTTCAGAACATTATGCACAAATTATTCAAGAGCCCCATTCCAGAATCACCATTTCAGTGGAAACACTCCCTGCTAGCACGCTGGGAGGATTTGAGTGCAGATCTCCGGAGACGGATGGTACAAAGACTTTGCTGGTGCACAGGCCAGATGACTCTGAGCAACAAAGGCTTGGAGGTGATACCTGTGCCATTAAATTCACAGGGCCAGGACACGAGCACTGGCTGGCTGTGGATGGGGTTGATTAATCATTAGCACATTGCCTGGCCAACCCTGTACCAATGACTGCCGTCCCAGCATTGCCTGGGTACGAGTTGGGGTAGTGTGGGCTAGGGACTTGTTGGAGGAGTTGGGATGGATGAGGCCCCCTCTATTTAGAACCACAGAATCATTTAGGTTGGAAAAGACCCTTAAGATCATCGAGTCCAACCGTTAACCCAGCACTGCCAAGCCCACCACTAAACCATGTCCCTAAGCACCACGTCTACCCAGCTTTTAAATACCTCCAGGGATGGGGACTCAACCACTGCCCTGGGCAGCCTGTGCCAGTGCCTGACTGCCCTTTCAGTGAAGAAGTTTTTCCTAATATCCAACCTAAACCTGCCCTGGCGCAGCGTGAGGCCGTTTCCTCTCATCCCATCGCTTGTTACTGGGGAGAAGAGACCGACCCCCACCTCGCTACAGCCTCCTTTCAGGCAGTTGTAGAGAGCGATAAGGTCTCCCCTCAGCCTCCTCTTCTCCAGACCAAACAACTCCAGCTCCCTCAGCCGCTCCTCACCAGCCTTGTGCTCCAGACCCTTCACCAGCTTCGTTGCCCTTCTCTGGCCACGCTCCAGCACCTCGATGTCCTTCTGGTAGTGAGGGGCCCACTCTTTTGAGAAGAGGAGGAAAATTTGGCTGCGTGCATCATGCCGGCTGCTTTAAGACTAGAAAATGGGCTCTGTCCTGCTTATTAGTATAGAAGTACCCTAAAGTTTGCCTTAAATCAAGATGTAGGATCCATCCTCAGAGGATCAGCATGGAGTGGAGGGAGACTTGTAAGGGTCCCACTGAAAAAGAAGAAATTGAGGGGGATTTTGTCCATCTTCTGACACCTCCCCTTGACAGTCACAGAGTGAGAAATTTCCTGCAGGTTTCTCTCTTCTTCTTGTGCTGCTGCGTCCTGAGCCCCACGTTTCTGCCAGGGCTCAGAGGAACGGCACATCTTGACGTCATGTCCCTCGTTTGGCTCTGCGGTGACGTCACCCCAGGGCTGGGCTCTGCGTGACTGCAGCTGTGAGCGTAGGCGGCTGCCAACAAACCCTCCCCAGCTCTGACTTTTAAGGGACTTCTATTCTCCATCAGGACCCCTGCTTGATGCCGATTGGTGATGGATGAAGTTTTGGGAAGGACCTGCCAGGGCAGGGAAAGGGTGAAGCCAGGGAACGCGGAGGCGGAGGGAAGCCAAGCCTGGCACAGGGGAGCTGGCTGTACGTGCAGCACCACAAACTCTGCACATACTGCATGAAAGACACTTCTTAAATAAAAATAACAGAAGGGAACATGAAAGACCCCAGTAGATGCCAGCAGTGACTGTAAGTCTCCGTGCTGGCCTGGTTCACTCTGGTTGGGACATGCTGTGCTCTTGTCTCAAATATATGGCTTTACATTAGTGCATGTAACATGGAGCAGGAATCTCTTCCCAAAATACCTTGCTCCAAAGGGTAACTGAGGTCAGATGCTCAACCGGTGCCAGTCTGCAGTTTCTCTGAGTTCAGGAATCCTGAATAGAGCTGCTGAGATCGGCCAGCATTCAGCTTATAAAGAAGCGCCTCAGAGCCTGCCCCATCCCTGCTGGGTCTGAGGACTGGAGCTGACATGTAATCCTGTAGACCCCAGGAGGACGGTCCCTTGGGGGTCTCCTCTCTCTGCCTCGTGCTGCTGCTGTTTCTTCAGTATTAGGTCAAGCGTGAAGAGCATCCGTGATGTGTCAAACAGGCACATCTGGGCTTGTCTGTCTATTTCTTCCTCTGCCTCTGGGTGGGTAAAGCAGCATTATCTAATATATCCAATATGCCTTGTGTTGCCCCCACTATGAATTAAGCCTGCCATTGAGTCCCACAGTTGCTCTCTCCCCCTGACCCCTATTTTCCATTCCCTCCCCACCAGCAGCACTGGGATTGCCTGAGGTTTTGTTAACGGGGTAGGGCAGGGCTGGAGGGGGGAATCAACCTTGGGCTCCAGGGCTCTGCTCCCGCCACCTCCCCGTGTGTGTCCCGGGTGGATGGGCATGCATGGATGTGAAGCAGCAGCAACAAGTGCTCCTGGAGGTGTGAAGCTGCATAAATTATTTAGAGCAGCTCTTCTACCCGAACAGCCTGGCTGAAAGGGATCTGGTTTAATCCAGCAGTTTCCAGGCGTGCAAAAGCCTGAGCGTTTTGTTTAACTTCCTTGCCTGCTGGGAAATGGCTAGTGTCTTATCCCCTTTTACAGTTTTTGGCAGGAAACATGACTCTGGAAGGTCAAACACAACTGACCTGATGACTGGGAGTAGTTGTTACAGGCAAAGGCTTAATGTGAGATCATGCAAAGTCTTTATGCTTGTGATAAATCTCACTTAACTCTCTGGGTTCAAAATCAAACAGGGCATGTCCAGCTCTTTGTAGAACCCGAGTTGAAGACTTCCTGGGCAGTGGGTGGGTTGTTGCAGCGAGAGATCCCAGCACTGCACGAGCAGACCCACACCTCTTAGCAGCAGTAACAAAACATATATACTCTTCTTAGCAGAGCTAAGATACAGCGGTTACACCACGTCAAATCCTCTAGCAGCTTTTTGGAGCAAGAGCCACCCTAACGTCTTTATGTGGCGTTCTGGATTGACATCTGCTAAGCAAATGAGGGGATGATAACGCAGTGATTTATCCAGGGTGCCCAAACTGTTAAATGGTTAAACATTTGTTTATTTATCTTCAAAGAGAGGATGCCGTACTTCCCAACTGGTTTTGTTTTTAGGGCTGGTGGAAAGCCAGTTCATTATGAGCGCCGCAGCACTCGAGAGATTCTCTCCCCCTGATCTTGGCGTTACTTCAGTTGGGCTTTTTTCGCTGTGTTCTTATCCTGCAGGAAATCTGTGAAGGAGAAAATAGGAAGAAGAAAAAAAAAGTAACTCAAAGCCGTATGATTTTTATTTTTACAATCGGAGCAAGGAGTCTGGAGGGAGATGTACCGTGGGACAGAGATATCTATGTATTTGGTATAAATCCAGCGAGCCTGATTTAGTGATCTTTAATGCTGTGTGACACTGTTAACGTTAGCAGCTCCTGATGCGTATCAGCTTAAGTGAAAGGTGGGGACTTGGACTTGAAGTGTTGATCACGCCGATGGATTTACGCCAGAGATCAATCTGGCACAGTAACTGTGATGCAAAATAGCAGCAGAAGAGGCAGAAGTGTTGTGTTGATTGATCAGCGTTGACTTTTCACGATGCGATAGGCCCCTTCCTGGTACCTTTCTCTTGCAGTATTGTGCTAAGCCTAGGCACGTTGTTACCAAATGGTAGTGACAAACCAAAGAGTTGGCAAGAGTGCCGCAAAAGTGGGTAAGAAGCGTAAGGAAGGGCATCTCCGTGTGCTTTCTAGCTCTCCAAGGATGTGTGCTTTTTAGAAGTCTGCTTAAAACCAAGTTGTTGTGTTGGTGTGAAGGCTCACATTGCACAATACCAACTGGTTAAAGCTCCAGCACAGAGCAGCACGGACCTCCGTCAGCAATTCCTTGCCATGAAGTGATGACAGCCCAGGGATGGAGGGGAGGGACTGCAGAAAGACAAGCGGAGCCAAGCCTGCGCATCTGGGCCAAGCGAGGGCAACGCTCCCTAAATCCTGAAAAGGCACAAGGAATCAGTTAGGGTTGATTTGGGGGAATAATGGGGAGGAATGGGCTGTCGACATCGGTGGAGTTCTCTCCCAGGTGCAAAATAGAAACCCCCTTTGCTAAAGAGGCCTGGTGGGGTGCCTGGGAAAGCCTTGCTCCCTGTGCCGCGGTGCGTGTGATGCACTGCAAAGCCACAGGGTTTTCCAGGTGGCTCTGCCTGGTGTGGAGGCTCTGCCAGCTGCAGGCATGGAGCCACCGGGGCTACAGATGGGGAGACAACCCTCCCTCGGCAGGAGATGGGATGAGCTGATCCCGTAGGTCTTTCCCCTCCCCGTGATTCTTGGGTTTGAGGGCTGGTTTTCCTTCCCCTTTACTTTTGTATAGGGAAGGGAGAGAAAAGAGGGGTATTTGAGTGCAAATTGTTTTCCGTATAAGTAGTGTTTAACTGATGTTGCACCACGTTCACCCGGGCTGTTTCCCAGGTCGCTGACCGAGTCAGTGATGTGATCCAGGGAGGAAATGCCCGGAGGTCAAAGCGGGGAGGTGGGTTTGGATTTGTGTTTTGCTCTGAGATTGCCTGATGGTATTGCAACAAAACTCTGGAGCCCTTTTCTTTTTGGTGTCGACAGAGCACCTGGATACAGTGCACAGCTCTTAGGATCCAGGATAGGTTGAAGGCCAAGTCTGCTAGATGTTGTGTGGCCCCACAGTAACAAACTGTCCCTGTTGCAAAAGCTTTGTAGGATGCCCGTAAACAGTATCACATCTCTAGCTCCTCCATTCCCTTCCACACAAGCTCAAACCCAGCAGCATCTCCAGGAGGTCTGTGATCACTGGAACACCGTCTCTCTCTCCTTGACCCATGCCTTTCCCATGTCCTAGGCTCTTTGCACACTGGCCGGAGCTCTCCACCCCCGGGGAGCGTTCCCGAAGAGCAGCAGCAGATTGCTCGCCAGGGATCCTATACCAGCATCAACAGCGAGGGCGAATTCATCCCTGAGACCATGGATCAAAACGTAAGTGGGGCCGAGGCGCGTGGGTTAAACTGGAACAGCATCAGGCATGAGGGAGGCTGCGCTGCGAGTGCCGGTCCCACCGTTAAATCCCCAGTGAGCCCTGCACATGGGGCTGAGGCCAGTTTTTTCCAGGAGTGAGTGCCCCCGGGCTTGATATGCTCAAGAAACAGCGGGCCCGACATCCAGGAACCCTAAAAGCCAGCTTCAGCAGTGATGGCAATGTGCTCAGGTAGCTCTGGAGGGGCGTAGATCTGGCACACACGTGCATGCCAGCTGCCGGGCCCTCATGGCTGTGGCTGTAGCCTTCTCAGATCCCGGGGACCACGAGGGAGTGTGCCAAGCAACCGATTGCCTGCGATTGCAACAGCCTGGGGATGTCAGCAGCTCTCACTGCTTCCCATGTGCTTTTTTTGCCTGAGCTCTGACTACAGTTCTTGGCTCTGCCCGCAGCCTCTCTCTGTGGTTTTGTCTCTCTCCCTCCCCCGTATATTTTTTTTTCCCTCTCTTAATAAGGAGTTTGTATATTCCAATCCCTCAGTAATAAAAGAGCAGCTAGTTCTTCAGCACACTGATGAGCAATACCTCTTTCTCTAGTCAATTTGGTACCCATGATGGGGGAAACTCTGGAGTGTCGAGGGACCAGAGCGGGAGCAGCTTACATCTCTCTCTCCATTTGCACCTCTGCTCAAACTATAGCTCTGAAGAGCTTAGTGTAGGTCCTATGAAGTCAGCTGGGCTAACTGGGCACACAGTTCATTCTTGCAAAGCTCTTGGAAGGGCAGGACCGGGATGCATAATTTGCAGGAGGGCTGGCCATGCAGGAGGGACATGGAGGGACATCTGGAAGGCACTAAGCTCACTGCAGCAGGCTGCTGTGACAGCCCCCAAGGATCTTGCCTAGGGAGATGTGCATTTCCTACACTCAAATAGCACCCACTAGCTCCACTTTTGTGTGCGGGCTGTGCTAGTGTTTCCATGGCAAAGTTGTGTTTTCAATGGTTTATTATACAGCCATTAATAAAATACGAAGTCACTCCGGGTGAGTCTTGGCAGCATCAGAGTGCAGATGTATCTTGTGCTCCTTGCAGCCAAAAGTTGGCTTTCTATTATTTTCACATGCCTTCCAAACACGTTTGGTAGGATTAAGACAAATTGTGTGTGCGTGCAGGGGGAGGGTCCACATGAACCCCCTCGTGGGTGTAAATCGGCGCAGCTCCACTGGCTTTTCATGGAGCCCCGTTAGCGCTAGCTGAGCTCTGAGCCGGCTCCTGATGAAGGTTCCCAGATGCTCTCCTTGCTTTTCCGCAGCATCACGCTGTGGGTGGCCTGCTGCCCTTCTCTGGCGAGTTAAATGCAGGAAAAAGGGGATTTGGGGATGAGTGTTTTTTTTTTTTTCCTCTTCTCATTGAGCAGCCATGGTTTTCCCCATATGGGCTTTGCCCTCAGAACATCCTTGTGCTGCAGCTTCCATATGTGCCTTGTGGAAAACCACTTACAAGCTAGTGCTTGCTGCCTTTTGGGGGATGCCCCTCTGCAAGCCTGTGGTATAACTGCAGTCTTTGCCTTGAGACCAGCTTGGCAGATGGACAGAGCTTGCTTGGATTCCCAATTTATGCTTTCGAGAAATGAGTCCCTTTCAGCATTGTTTTAACTGCTGGGGGAGGCCTGCCATGGCTGGCAGAGGTGGGGAGCGGGGTCTAGCAGAGGTCTTGCTCCTTTTTGGCTGGTGCACTTTGATGGATGAGGCTTTGGGGTAAAAACTGGGAAGCAGAGAAAAACCTCGCTTTCCAGTTGGGACTGTCCTGCCAAAACAATGCGAGCTGTTATGACAACCGGTTGAGGAGGTCTAACGCAGGAACAGCACATGGAAAAGGAGGCTGTTCCCGTACGTGGGGAAGGAGGAGCGAACGTGGGTCTGGGAGCCAGTGAAGGGTGACTCCACGTGGTGTTTAACCCTCGTTGCTCAGCTTTCCCGGGAATGAGCTGGGCTTGGGGCTGGCTGTGGAGTAGGGGTTAGCGAGTGTCCACAACAGGTCTGCAGCCAGGAGGAAGCATCGTACCGACTGCAGCACAGCGTGGACCTGAGCAAGCTCTGCTCTGCGTAGAAGTGCACATAGCCCCTAGGTTTGCCACTCAATACAAAACCTCTATTGTTACTAACCGGCTATAAATAACCCCATCCAGTACAATGTCTCATCCAGGAAGCAACATAAATGCAGCTTTTGACTCACTGAGCTAGTGAGAGCCAAGCCAGTTCCTCCAGCCAAAAGCCCTGATGATGCTTTGCTTATCACCGGAGAGGAAGGCTGGTCTCGTGTGCCGGGGCAGCTTGGGGAAGTCAGGGGTCCAGGGCTGCAATCCTGGCTGCGGTGCACAATATCCACTCGGCCTTGGGCACATCATTTGTGTCCTGATATTTTTTTAATTATTATTATTATTATTTTTCACAAATACTTTGAGCACTTTGAATCTCATTGACTTCTCAGCATAGTTCAAACACCAGGGTGCTAATTATCTTTGCCTCGGTTTCCCTACTAGCAAATAGCAGTTGGAAAGAAAAATAATCCGGAGAGGGCATCATAAATGGATTTCCATTGGGAAGAAATCTTTTGTTAGGTTGGATCTCATCTCTAGTGGGGCTGGCATCGGTTGGTGTAAATCAGCCGGCCTCAGTGGAACCTTGTTGACCCTGCAGAGGTCTGCTAGTACTGGAGCTTGAAGAACGTGGTTTTATTATTTTCCCTTTTTTTTCACTCCCAGATGCTTGAAGCTTTCATCAGCCCTGATGAGTCGCTGTCTGGGAGCTGCCAGTCGCTGGACAGATCTGTGGACAGGTGAGTCGTGCATATCACCATGTTCACAAGCTGAAATGCAGCCTCCGCTCCATGGCGGGAGAGGAGCGGGGTCAGTGGCATCCCCTGAGGTGCCTGTTGGGATGAGGATGCGCCTGAGAAAAACAAATTTATCCTGAATGCTAAAAACCAGATCCTAGCACAGACTTCTGTGCGATGGTATGATTTGAATTGCAGTAATCTGAGCTGGACAAAGTAGCTGGGGATCTGCGGACAGCCTGGCTTTGTGTGCCCAGGTTTTCTGCTTCAGTCAGATCCCTCTCCTACCCCTCCGGCTTTCTGCAGTCACCGGGTCAATACTCCATTAACCTCTCCATGCCTCCTCCTCCTCCTCGGGCATGCTGTCTGCTTTCCATTGACTGCTTGTGAATTCGGCAGCCCCTGTGCACTGCTAGCAGCCACAGACGTGTCAGTTAGGGTGCTGAGGACACCAGAGGAGCAACAACTAAGTTTAGCTTCTAAGCAGGAAGC